CAAGCTGCAATTCCTGAAATACTGTTTATAGAGAAGGAATTGATTCTTAAATGTAATTAATACCTCATTAAGTGAATGTGATGTGTGGTTGGCTCTATCACAGAGGGCATTGCTGGGGTCTGAACAGAGGAATTAGGGAAGGTGACTGCAGCCACCACCAGCAGAAGTGGCTGCTGGTAGAGTGAGACACTCACCTCCTCCGGGACAAGTGGTAGAGGGGTGTGCTGCAGAGAAGGGGGGAAAAGGCAGGGTGCAGTGCTGGCTGAGAGCAGAGCACTGTGGGCTCAGGTGGAAAGCGAAAGGCAAGCCTCAAAATAGCAATCAGAATCCTGTCTGCACTTTCTTCACTGCATAAAGCCAATGCTGGAAATCCATGGACCACGGCTGCCAGGCAAGGGCTTCATCCTTCGGGGAATCTTAGATGTCCAGAGCTATTCCCAGAGGGGTGGATGCATGTTCACCTCCAGTAAAAATGTGCTGAGGTCTGTCTTGCAGCACCATGTCCAATAGCCACGAGCTGCTCTGCACATCAAGTATCACTTGTGTCAATCCGTATGATTGTGGTGCGTGTTTAAAATGTGTTTAGGTGTTTTCCCTTGCACAATCACAAGACACTGAGGAGCATTTCTCCAGTCTTTTAGTGGGCTCATGCATTGAAGCAGAAAAACTTCACGTTGAAGCCTGAGGAGTTGGTTTGTTCACAGCACATTTTTTTACTTAAGCATCATCTGTATTTAGGCAGGAAAAGTTGAAACTAAGTGAATAAGTGCCATCTGATGTGTCTGTTCTGTAAAACACTGTACTACTTGTTACTGCCGAGGTAAACCTTTTATTAAACATTATTCAGTGAACATTATATACTTACCAAGTTGTAAAAACTGCCTGTTTTTCATTGTACAGGACTGCTAGTTTCTAATAGTAATATTCTGCATTTAGAGTAACTTCTTTCTGAAGACTTCATGGTTCAAGTTCTAAAATTACATTTAGGAAAAAGTAAAACAAAAATACTAGGAAGAACAACCTTTATATATACTATATATATGTAATCTGTTGCTCTTGGTCTTGAGTCAAACCTGTGATGTCTTTCAGAGGTGCTGAGTGCCCAGGTTCACAGAACCACAAGCCCCTGGCAAAAGAGAGAATCATTAGGAAGAGGTGGACAAGCCATCTCAGATGGCAGTATGGTGAAAGTGTGAGCTGCCATCACCCCTGCAGCACTCTGAGCTTTTAGCAAGATTATTCTTTTAAATAGTAAACATACTTTAAGATTTGAAATACATTTACTTCATATTTCCAGCTGTAAGTGGTTTATTAAGATATGATGGTTACACTGCCAGGGCATCACTCAACACACGAGCTACTCCATTTTGTGGAAAAATACATACAAAAGAGTAGTTTTGCATACAGAAATCTCTACTCATAGATAAGAGCCTGACTTTTTAAAGTATATGTGCTTTCCATATTACTAAAAAGTGGGTTAGCACAACCTCTTATCATGGGGATGGTTATTTGTGTGTGGAGTTCTTAATGAGGCTATGCGAAGGAGTTGTAGAGGTGACAACAGTGAAGTAAGAGAAGAGTGACAGAGCAGTGGGGGTTCCCAGGAGGACTCAGCTGTACAAGATGAGGGTCTGAGACACAGATCACGCTTCAAATGTTAAATGGTGACACACAAGCACAGAGAATTCAAACTAGTTTTGTGTACAACTGAGATCTGAACAGGTGGCATCAGGGGGAAAAGGGCAAGTGAAATCTCAGCATCAAACCTTGAGCTGCTGCTGTGGAGCAGCAGTGTGACAGTAAAAGCAGACCATGTGTGAATCAAGCACACAGAACAGTGTGAGGAAAGCACGAACTGTGGTGATGGTCGACATCAACTGTGGGCTCTCACCTAGCACAGTGGTGCTGGTTACTTCATGGGCTCTTGAATAATGCAGCTGTAAGGGACAGAAATCCAGAAAGGAGAAAAAAAAGTGATGAAAATGACAGCTCCCCTGCTGTTTTTAAAGGCCTCTTTCCTCTAAATGTAAATGAATGATTTGGAGTGTTTATCCATGAAAAATAGATAGGGATAAGGGTTAAAATCATAGGAAGTTATGCATGGATGGTATGGAGAGGACTTGTCTACTCAAACTTCGATTACACTCGTGTTCACAATGCTTGGAAGGCAGAGGAGCCAAGCAGCAAACACTGGCTACGGCGCACCCTGTCTGCAGAAGGTGTGGCTACAGAGGTGATAGCGCAAAGACCTCAGCAGCGTTCTACAGATGCATTAAAGGCCAGTGAGAATCTGCAGTTGCAACAGAACTCCATAGAGTTACCTGAGAAGAACTCCCCATCACTATGAGCTGGGATTTTTATTCCAAGACATTACTCAGCATCAGCTGCAAATCTGTATGCCTTTTCCCCCAGCACAAAGACACCAGGTTGGCAAACCCACTTCCTTCCACCAGTGCTAAAGCTCATTTTCCAGGAATCTACATCAGGATCAAAACAGACCCTCTGAACCTCTTTGTTTCAAATCTGATGCCTGGATCCAATGCCAGGTTTCTTAGGAACAGTTCATACCCTTGTATACTGAAACAACAGTTTGGCATTGATACTGGAAATAGGTGCTTAGGAAATAAAACTGTGATATTCACACACTGCTATCAGAAGTAACATAAAAGTCTTAGCAAACCTCAGTTACTGAAATCCCAGCTTTTCCTTGAAAGGGATGGGACTGCTAAACCTTAATGGCCCTATCTAAATAACCTGCCTATGCAAAGCCTGCTGCACATAGATCTTTCCTCACACACCCTATTGCGGCTGTAACTGTAGTACCGTGCCCTCCAGCCACATAGCACTTCCTCTTAGCACACACCCTACCAATTCCTCCTCTTTCCCTGAGAGACCTTTAGGACAAAGCATTCATTGTGCTTGTGTCAACTGAGGAATGACAACACCAGAAACACGAATTTTCCATGGCTCTGACTTCTCAAAGGCTGATTGTTCGGTGGGAACGGAAGCGTTTTAAACGCCGGGTTGTAGATGAGACACACCAAAAAGCAAGCGAAGGTGCTCCCACCCCTGGCAGTCCTGTCTGTAACCCGCCTGGAATAACCCACCTCGGTTCTCTCAGCGAAACCGCCACCCCAGGAGCCGTCCCGCACACACAGCCCCGGGGCCGCCGGCAGCTCCTCCACACGGGGCCCGGCACGGCGGCCCCGCAGCTCCCGCGACACGCCGGCTGTCCTGCCCCACTTCCAGCGGGAGCGCCGTTACGGTAGCTGCGGCACCAACGGACCGCGCCTCCCCGCAGTGCCGAGGACGAGCTGTGCCGGCGGCGGCCTGAGGGCGGGAGACCAAGGCGATGTGGACGCGGGTGCCACCCGCGGGCCTAGCACTGGGGGCTGCCAGGACACAGCCGGGAGGGGAGGGGACGGGACGGGACAGGCCAAACCCGGCACTGCAACAGCACCAAAACCTTCCCGTGCGCATGCGCGCGCAGCCACCCCCAAGGCCTCTGCCAAGCCCCGCCCCGCCGCAAAGCGCCGCTGTGGCGCACGTGTTTCCCGCCCCTGGCGCGCGGCCTATTTAAGGGGGTCCCGGAAGGTCTTTCGCTCTTTCGCGCGCCCCGGGGGCGGCGGGTGAGGCCTCTGTGGGTGTCGAGCGCCCTGCGCAGGCTCCGGGCGGCGGCTCAGGCCGGTGCGCCCGCGTTGGCGGGACCCGCGCTGCAGGAGCAGCTCTCGGCGGTGCCGATCGGCCCGGCGGCGGGGGCGATGCACGGTAGCTCTGTGACTTGTGCACGGCTCCGTCCGTGCCGCTGGCGCCATAGCTTGGGCCTCCGGGCGGCTGTGCCGGTCTTACGGCAGCGGCCCAGGGAGTGGTGGACCCGGCCTCAGAGGTGCTGCCGCTGCCTCCCCGAGGCAGCTCCTCCGGCAGAGCATGTGCTCGTCCCAAGCAACAGAGCCGTTTCGCTCATTTTTTTCGGAGGAATTAGGACTATTCTCCGCTGTTCAGCTTCAGTGGGGTTGGAGCTGGGTGACCCTTAAGGTCCCTTCCAACCCAAACCAGGCTGTGGTTATAAGTTAAGTTATGGCAGCGCAAAGCAGTACAACCTCAGGAGCTGAAGGGGCGGGTTGCTGACACCGTTCCCTTAACGGCGTAAGGCATCACTTAAAGGTGAGCAATTATCACTGTGTTGTAACTGTTTCGGCTGCCAAGCGTAGTGACTGTGTGCTAACAACAGGCCGAGTCTGGATGCTGGAGTTGTGGAGTACAGGCTGACACCCGTTGGCCACAAAGGGACGCGTGTGTGTTGTGAGAGTAAGAGGGATCTTGGTAGTGTGCGCTGCTCTGCTGCCAGCGAGCTGCGGTGATTGCTTTATCTCTTGAGTCATCAAGTCTTCAAAGGAATGACAGATCAGACATCCAGGGAGACTCGGTTTTGCTGATAAATCATTTTCATCGGCAGATGCATGTCCTAATTCTGAAGATAAATAGCCGCTTTTCTCCTTTTGGGAATTTGGCAAGTGCTGTATGGTGACCCTGACTGTGCCCTTTGGCCTGCTAGCACAGATCCAAAATGGGGGGGGAATCATAACCCCAGGGGCTCAGTGGTCGCTGTGGCCATGCTTTCCTGCCAGGACTATCGTGTGAGTGCTGACCCTATCTCAACCAATAGGGAAATGGGTCAGTAGTGGTGGGTGGGCTGGGGTTAAAGGCTGTACCCTGCTGGGGTACTCCTCTCCCCAGGGATGGCTGTTCCTCAGGATTAGTGTAGCATTCCTGCAATCAGTCATTCTTGATGCAGGAGCTCTCTAGGTGAATCTTGTCTAACCACCAGCTCAGCTGGTGCTGTCAGTAGGTTTTTTTCCCCAGGTAGTGACAAAGGCAGCAGTGAGGTTGCTGTTTGTTTGACTGGCTTACTTTCCCCAAGGAAGTGTCAATACTTTTGGCTACTGGCTCAGCAGTGGAGTTCTCTAAATGAAATGGCTTTGATTTCTTTTCACCGTTTCAGGCAGCAAGTGAAGTTGTGAGTTTGTTACTGGCTTTGGGAATCCTCAGTCTGGACCCTGCTATGCTGTTGCCTTGCAAGCAGAAAGATGTCACATGAATTCTGGAGCTACAGAAGTAATTATTTCTTCCTGTACCTAAAAATGCTGAGGAAAGCCTTCCGAAATCTAGAGTTCTGAAGATGTTTTTTGGCTTGTAAATTCTCTTAGAGGTGGAACAGGGAGGAATATGCTTGCGTGTAGTGTTAAGAGGTTGGAACTCAATAACAGAAGCTGTTCCGCCAGCTGTAAAACCTCCCAGATGTGCTCCAAATCAGGTGTAACCCAAGAACTCTGAAGGAATTGTAAGCGAGAGGCTTGTAATAGTATCAGAGAATTTAGTTTTTAACTGGGATGGGAAACAAGGCTTCTGCTGTGGAGAACTAAGTGAGATTGAAGAACAGTCACTGCCTCTGCTGGCACTTAGCTGTGTCAGTCTGTTGGAATATATCCTGAACGGAAAGGTGGCTGCAGCACTAAACTTCACCTCTGGAAAGATACTTGGCACCTGGGGCTTGAATTAACAGGGAGGGACCTGTATTTCTGTACTGAAAGCTTTTTTTCTCTTGCTTCTAGCTCTACTGAAACCATTCTGCGCTTAATAGTTACAAACAAGGCTCTCTTTAAGGTTATAGAAGTGAGTCTCTTGAGACAAACAAATCCCCTTGTGTTTGATACCTTAGGAACATTACAGCAGCCTTACAACAGGCAGGAACCTGTTTGCTGGCATGATGATGATCACTCTTTGCCGTTTACCCAGCTGAAATGTGTGATGAGCAGTCTTGCATCTGAGGTGCCAGCTAATTATGAGGGTTTTCCCTGTTTGATTTGCTACCATCAGTTCTGATTTTATTCATCATTTTAAAGGTGCTGTGACTTCAGATGACCTTCTCCACTGTCTCCAAAACCTGCGTATGCACATACAGCCAACGGTAGACTCCATCCACCTCTAGAAGAATGGGTATTTAAGGTGGTAAGTTGCTTTTTTTACAAAACTAGTTAAGTAACTGGTAAGTGGTATTGATGAAGGCCTGTAGTGACCACACTTGCTGCTGCCTGACGCTGTGCAGGCTTCCATCAGCAGGAAGTGTTGCCTGTTAGGAACACTTCTGGACTATTGCCTGCCTTTGTTGACCTTCAGTTGTGGTATTGCTGCTTGTCTTCTAATTTATTGCTTGAAACCGCCCAGAAGAAACTGGGGAGAGGTGAAGATAAGGTCACACTGAATAGGGTACTGAGCAACCTTGTATAGTGGAAGATGTCCCTGCCTGTGGCAAGGGGGGGGTGGAACTGGATGATCTTTAAGTCACAAACCATTTCATGATTCTATAATAAAAGCTATGCTCCTTTTAGAGAAAACCCTTTTCTGAGGATGTACCTTCCTTAATACAGCTTTGCAAAAATAGTGATTTAAAAAGCTGTTGTATTAAGTTTATTTTAGGAGAACTTTTGCTGGCATAATGATGAAATCTTTGCCGTTTACCCATCTGAATTTTTTCTGATGTGTATCTTTGACTCTGATAATGCCAGTGCAGTTAGCATCTTTGTGTAAGATCAGTTAAGGGCACAGAACACTAATTGTGAAATTCCTTTTTTTCTGTTCTGTCTGTCCTTAGCTTGAAACAGCAGCCTGAAATTCGGAGTTCTAATGTGCTTGGAAATGCTTTCCTGGCCCTTCCTGTTCCTCAGAAATATGGCTTGATTCAACAGCAAGGCAAGGGAACAGCTGTTCTGTGAACAATCCTCAAATGATGTTCAGGTGAAACTCTAGAAAGGGAAATGGTCCTGTGGGCATTTGAAAAAACTGAGTATTTGAATGTACCAAATAGAACAAAATTGAGTAAATCAAGTGTTAAAATCTGTAGGAAAAATTGTCTAAATCAGAGTGGTTTTGGCAGTGTGTGTATGAGTAAAATCTTGGGTTTCTGTTTTCAATGACTAGTTTTTTGTTGAGGCGATGCGAGCGGTACATCCTGCTGGATACCCTGGGTAGGAGTCAAACCAAGCAAACCTTTGGTTTTCAGCTTGTCAAGAGCTGACAGAAAGCTTGTACAATTTTTCTGCTGCCTTTTTTTAACCAGGGCTGTCTTGGGTGTAAAACTTGGTCAGTGTTCTCTCTATTACCGTATCCTTGTCAGGAAGATGGAATTCAGGAAAGTCCATAGTTGTAAAACCATGTGGTGTCTTGAACACCTCATCTTCTACCACACCACTCTTTACACTGTTTTTTGCAGTGAGATAAGAGTTGATCTCACTGAGCTGCCTACCCACCAGGTTGTCTAATAGCTTTTTTGTTTCACTTTCCTGTAAGGTTCTGCTCTCCCCTGCAATATCTACAAAGTAATGTGGAACTACTGAGGTTTTTTAACTGCAGGAGCACACTGGGCATCCTGCGCTAAAATGGCGCTGTAATGTGAAACTAAGACACAGAACATCAAGCAGCATGGTGACGCTTTTATACATTTTACAATTTACAGAGCATGAGTAATTTAAGAAAGTTGGCGTATGCTGGAAACCTACCACCCCTCACTGGGTGGTGTATTTAAAAAGAACAACAAGAGAAACTTCTTGGAGACAGATTCTAAACTCCTGGTTTAATTCTTAGTTGTAGTCTTATTAAAAGTCCTGCTTTACTCCTTACTTAGCTGTGGATGAACAGTGGTAACCAGGAAGTAAAGTTCAGGTTCTGGCTTTATTCTGTAGCTGTGGCCTCTCAGGATGAAGATGTAACTCCTGCCTCTCAAACAACACTTTGACAAGATCTAATTACAAACAATTCACAAAGTTTGTAATTAAATCTTGTCAACCTTGCTTTATTCCTTAGCAAACCAGCACTGAACTGTCTGACAAAAACACTAGAAACTTATTAGTTGTGTATTTCTATCTGCAGTCTCAGAAGCCTAAAGATTCAGGCTTTACTTTACTTGCACAATGGACTTTTCACTCTTCGTTAGTGTTAATGTGAATTCCTGGGCCATATGCACCAATGAACTTCAGCAGTTGATGGTGACACTGCATGAGGTAATGGTCTCTCTGTTGCAGGGAGTTTTCATCACTGAGGTCAAATGGAAACAGAGGATTTGGTGCTATGCATAACGCAGACTTGCCTAAGCAAAGAAGAAAGACTTGTGCTAAAAGATGTGTGATAAACTTTTGCCGGACCTTCCATTTGAAGGGGAAAAAAAGCTGTGACACAGATTACTTAAATGGTAACATAGAAGGTTATGTTATGGAGTGTTAGATAGTAATCCTTGTCTCAAGTGTCAAATTTGTGACTAATGCTAGATAAACAACAACTAACCTTAGCCCCCCAACCCTTGTGTTCCATTTCTCCAGGGAGGGAACTCTACCAGCGTAAAGGACAGCACTAACTGTGTGTCAAAGTCTTCAGTGCAAGTTCTGGACTTTGATTTGAAATGAGCTGTTACTGCAATCAATGATACAAACGTTTTTCAAACTGACAAAATCTGAAAACTACCAAGACTAAAGACTTGAGTTGCATTAGTTACCGTGTTTTAGGGTCAGAGATGATTCAAGGAACAAGATGGCAATCAACGCGTCTTCCTTAAGTACCTTCTTTCTTAAACTTAGTTTAGCATGAGCCTTAGACAGTGAAATCCTGAGAGATTAATACAAGTGTGTCAGAAATAAATATTGTGTACATGAATGTAGTATGTACTGTGCTGCTTCAAGCACTTCCATACCTCAAAAGTTAACACAAGTGGGTTTTTCTTGTATTTTGTCTGTGTAACTCCCCCAGATACTGTGCAGTTACTTGTCACTGACAAGGTGTGTGTTACTAGGCATGATTTTCTCATGCTCTGAAAGCAGTGGAAGTTGGCATATTATATACTGTTAATACCCTTGTTTGCATAACAGCAAGCTGTAATAACTAAAATCCCATTTTTCTAGATAGCTTTAATATTGAAAGTTGTTTCTTAAATCATGGGGTTTGCCTGGCAAAGTTCTTTAAACTCCCCCCCCATCAATGCATAAAATAAATGGCATTTATAAATTGTGAGATTCTTTATGCTTGAACTGTTCAAAACTTTGAGTCCTGTCTAGATTTCTACTTAGCAAGCTCCTGAGGAGCTCAGCACCGTTTGTTTGAAATGTAGGTGTGTTTCCTTTACTATGAAAAGTAGGACATACAGAATTTTTAGCGCAGATGCTGATAGTGTTGATCCATGACTAGAATCTCTTCTCACTCTGCGACTTGCAAGATAGTAGCCCTGAATGAGGTTTTCTGCTTCTGGACTCAGTTCAACATGAAGATTCTTAGCAAACGAAATAAACTGGAGAGGGGGGTATACATTTTAATATTTAACTGGAAAATGAAGAATTTACCTTTTTTATACCTTGTAACATGCCAATAGCAGAGTAATGTAGTTTAGGCAGTGTATTCTAGAAATAGTTTTTTTAAGACAGCTGTCACCATTCAGCTGTGTATAAGGAATGCATCGCAGATGCTAAACAGAATCATCTGTTAATTATTCTAGAGGCATTGACAGTTTACTTAGAATGGAATACTAACTTTTACTACTAATTGTAAAATATTGCGGTCAAAAGTAGGTACTGGAGATCAGTTCTCATGTCAGTGTTAACCCAGGATGCTTTTCAGAAACAAGTTCAAATGGGATTTCTTATGCTGGTCCTTTTGAGGAACTGAAGCTAATGTTGTCAATGATCCTGTTAGTGCTGGTGGGAATGTTGGGTGGGGTGGGGAAGTATAGAAAATTAGTGTTAGCAGTCTGAATGTGTGGAGAGAACCTTCCAATCCCAGAAACAGTATGATATTCCCAAGTATAATGCACTTAAATTGCTGGGTAGTATTTGTTACCTCCTCATAATCCTGCATTCTGAACTGCTGGGAGACTTTGTACAGCATGGCTTCAGGATGAATGGCTTTTTTCAAGATATGGTGTACCAGAGGTGAAGATTGTTGGCATGAAGGAAACTCACTGTGTATCAAAAGTCCAAATCCATCTACAAGGTTAGGTGGAATCAAACTCATGTCCTAGAGGGAAGACCCAGAGAAAGAAAACAGCTGCTACAGTTTAGCATGATGAGCTCAAGTCACTGAAGATGTGACTTTTCGGGAAATACAAATTTGATTATGGTTATTTGAACTCATGAAACAATAAAAGTAAACGCATGGCTGCTGTAATACAGTTAGTCATAACAAGGTGTGTGCTTTACCATCTGTCCAATTAAAAAGTTGTCCTTTTGTATATGTTTCTTTGAGGAAGAATCCACGTAAGACCAAAAGTTGGTTTGAAGCGAAATAGTAACTTGCTGGTCAGCCTCTTCTCCATACTTCTTCCCAGGAATGAAGACTGTTGTTGTTCTGCTCTCTAGCACTAGGGTAAGAAAAAATACATCAGTTTAAATCCTAATCCCCCCACACACACTATCTGAAACCAGCCACGATTATGTATTTACCGAATTGTCACAATGGAGTGATGTTTGCCTGTGTAGCAAATGTAAGCTTACAAGACCTGGGCTTTTTTGTCATTTTTTTTTTACACAGACTTACTAAAACCAGCTTAAAGCTTTTCACAGCATTTGAGGGCCATAAACTTGCATGTTTGTTTTGTTCTGTCCCCTCATTAGGCATAAGATTACCTGACTGTAGAAGTTCAAGTTTATCCTTTTTATATGAAGCCAGGTCTCCTATGTAGCAGATGCCACCCTTGGCCAGCACAGCACTGCAAGCTTGAATACTAGCGCTTCCAGTTCCGTGTTTGTCTTTGGACACGGAAGGGAAAATGTCACTGCAAGGTGGGTGTCGTATGCCACGAGGCAGAAGACAGAGGCTGTAATTCAGAAGCCTAAAACATTGAACAGCTGTCAGTCACAAATTGTAAAGTTATTGTTCAGTTTTCAAAATCTAACAACACTTTATAATGGTATTTGCATATATTAAGACTCACTAAGAAGCAACAACAAACCCAACGTAAAACCTAAACATAAAACCAGTGTCAAAACTTAAATGTTTAAAGTAACTTGTGTCCAAAGTACACAAACGTAGGAGGCCAAGCCACCTCTGCAACAGCTCCCAGCAGGACTGTATTCCTTATGGATTTAACGTGAGGCAAATTGTGGTTTGCAATAGAAGTAATTCCAGAGAAGTCTCATAACTTAACCCTATATTGTTAATTCCTGTTCCTCTTCTAAAGAAACTTGCCACAATCTAGAAAGGTAAGGGATTAGTAATCCTGACCATCTGGGATAAATGAAAAGGCTGGGTGGGAATCTGCAAGCTCTGCGTGCACTTACTATTATTTTTAAAAATACTCATTTTTTCATTCTAACCTATGTGAAAAATAAGCAATCTCTTTACCTATCAATTACTAACGTGTCAGTTGTCACAATCAACAGATCCAGGTAATCTGCATTTTCTTTTTCACACGTCTGTACTAGACTCAGCAGTATTGCCAGTTTGAGCGTATTGTAAGTGCCTGGTGGAACAACTTCAGAAGCAAAGATATTGGCAAGGATGGCAGTAAACCTCCAGCATGAACTTGCAGTCAGTGACAGCAGATACTTAAAATTGTCACTGACAAAAGAAGGACCTAATGAAAACAAAGTACAGGTTAACAAATGCTTAATAAGACAGCTGTTCAGATATATGAGAACAAATCACCAGTTTAGTCTTGATGCAAACCTGACAAAGAATTATGTTTATGTATTAAGCACAGATTTAGAATGTAAATATCTGACACCATTAATTTTACTACTAAAAGCTAGCAGACATGATCTGCTAAAACTGACAAAGGAATAACAAACTGAAATACCAGGTTTATCTAATGTATGATTTTAAAATAGTTTCCAATGGATAGGAAAATTTGGAAAGAGAAGTTGGAAGGACTGCAGTAAATAATGATGTAGTTTCCCAATGTATGGAAAGTGGGCAAAGGAAGATGTTCTCAAGGAACAGAAAGCATGCATTGCAAACAGAAGAAAAGTCCCAGAGTGGTTTAATAACCTGGGCCTCCAGATAACAAAACTCCACCAGTTCTCAAGATTTTGTTCTAAAAGATTTTTAATGGAACTTTCTTACCACTTGGTTTACAGAGCTGTATGCTATTGATTTCTATACATGCTGTAGCTTGTAAGCCATTTTGTACACAAGCTGGAATTCCTATAATCTTGTAGTGGTTTCCCATTTTCATTTTATTGGCCAGTTCATCTAGAAATAAAAAAACGGAGGGGGAGGGGAGAAACCTGCAGATGTGTGAGGTATAAACCACTTAGTTAAAAAGACATGGTCAGAAACAACATTCTGAATGGTTCTATTTTACGCTTTAATTGGAGAAAATAACAGTTGGCTGCCAGGTTTACCATAATGGACTAGAATAGAATGCATACAATTATAATTGATCAGTGTAATAGGTAAGGAAGGCACAAGGGGTGAGAAAAAGCAGACTCCTCATGAAGAAAATGGATGATGCATTTAGCTTTGCATTGAAAAGGAAATGCATAGTTGTTTGCAGGTATGCATTCCTACTCTGAAACTTGTGGTCATTCTGGTATCAGTTACTGTCCTACGTGATGTCAGAGAAAAAGACAATAAAATGGAGAATTTCAGAATGACACACAAATGCCTTTAGGAAGATTTGTATTTCTGTGTTTCTTAATTAAAAAAAAAATCATCACATTTATTTCTAGGAAGGGAAAGCTACATCCAACCATGTCTGAATCTCAGCTGCGAGACCTGGTCTGACCTCAGTGATCACTGAAGCCAGTGGAAATTTAATGCATGCAGAACTCATGGTATCTCATCTACTGGTATTTTTATTATTTTCATAATTTTATTATTATTAGTTTTTTCCTACTTAGCTTTCAATGAATTAACTATATACTTCCATAGACTTTTTGAATGGTAGGTATTTTGCTTTTTTAAGAAAATTAATGGAATTATGTTGAGGAGTTGTGATTTTAGTTGGATATTCACACTGGAAACCATTTAATGTTTGCAGTGCAAGGTAGTGGTAGTAGAAGCCAAAATCCTGATGGAATGTGAAACAGCTATACTGGGGAAGGATGTTAAAAATGCATGAAATTAGTACAAATCAGTGTGACCAAAGGAATTAACAAGGAGGAAAAAACAAGCTGCAGTTAGGCTGTGATACTGCAAAGCTGGCTGGGGGATTTTATTTATATAGAAGTGAACACAACAGTTTTGCCATGTGCATTCTTCAATCACATGTGTATACTGTTTAGTCACCTACATTAATGCATTTTTTCCTCCTAATCTTATTAAAAAACTGCAATATAAGTTATGAGTATCACCATTTTGTCCAGAGAAATGGGCCTATAAGGCAAATGAAACAGATTGTTAGCTTTCAATTCTTAACCATTTTTGACAAAACTCCAAAATTCAGCTTACCTCTCAAGAAAACTGTGAAGGTCTGAATCCTGAAATGTGATTTATCATTGGAATATCCTTTCAAAGCATTCAGAACTTTTGCATCAATCATTTCAACTATTTGCTTATCTTTCAAAACAAAGGCAAAGAAAAGGTTAGTTATCTAGAAAACAGTGTGGCTTTTAGTAGTATTATTTTTATTAAATGACTGGTTTATTTTATGGTCCTATGATTTTCAAGCTTTTTCCATTTCACCATTTTGCTTACTTACTGTTTAACAGAAGTAGGAAAGTAATACAGATAAAACTACATAGGTCATACCACCAAGTACTCTAAATTTCATGTCTTCCTGCAGTGGCGAAGAACACAAACCACACACAAAATCATTTCTCACTGTGGCAGATTCTGTAGCTCCAGGGAGATGCACTCTTATGTACCTAAACCCTAAAAAGAAATTATTTATGGAACATTTAAAATGAGGACATGGCTTTCATTTTAAATTTATTATTCTGTATAGACATGATACCCCCCCTCTGTAAGTGTTCAAGGCCAGGGTAAATGAGGCTTTGTGTTGTATAGTGGGACATGTCCCTGCCTATGGCAGGGGGTTTGGAACCAGATGAACTTAAAGGTCCATTCCAGCCCAAACCATGCGATGATTCTATGGTTAAAATACTGGACACTGAACTGCCAAATGTATCGTGTTTCTTTGGATGAGCATACGTTCATGTACTATGCCTCCACTAAAATGATCTCTGTCATTTATTGCAGGCTGACCACAAGATGGCAGTAGTTCCTACGGCATATTCGCACGCAGAACAGCTTGGGGCGGCTTTCTGAGCGGCGGGACGGAAGCCACTGCCGCCTCTGCCTGGCCTGGAAATGCCATTGGAAAAACAGATACTCATTACGAAAGGTACGTGCCCTCATAAAGGTATCATGATTTATTCTGCAGTCTCCTAACTTTGGGATTTGGCTTTTCTTTTATCATTCATGGTCTATGTTACAGGAAGAAGCAGACAGACTTAAAAGTCCTTAAGGCCTAATCCTGCAATGATGCAGGCAGTTCAGTAATATTACTGAAAGAAGTTGTTCCACTGAAGTGAGCTACTTACTAAAACAAACTTGTTCTACACTAGCAGTTTTTGCCAGTCACTTAAGAATACTGTTCTACAGTATACAAATACACACAGAAACACAGTTTCCAAGGGAAAAAAAGTATTCTGCTAGCTTAGCTTTTTTTTTTCTTTCAGTTTATATGAGAAAATATGTATGTCAATATAATTTAATGAATTATCTTAATCATTAGGAAAATGGATTGCTGGCATTACTGTGCTTCCAAAACATTTAATAATGCTGAGCAACCACTGGCAGGGTCCACTGCTTTCAATTAACAGAAATCACACTGTGCTCATTACAAAAATATATGCATAATAAGACTGCATAGAAAAATGCCTTTGTCATGCTGGGGTTTTAGCTCTTAAATTATCAAAATTATTATAAAGCTTCTGAAATAGTACCAATTTTTTTTATTACCTTTAGAAAATTGGCAGGTTTCCTCAGTACAAAAAAATCTTGCTCCTTGCGTATATTTCGTTACAATTCCCATCGCAATCGCTATTCCTTCAGACATATAAAATCTTTGAGATGTGTAATTAAAGGGAAACGCAGCAAGACTCAGAACATAACTTGGTAAAGGTGGCAAATGGGTTGGTTTCAACAATATACTGATCTAACAAGAGACACAATCACATTAATACCATCAAAATATTTGTTTGTTTTAAACCCACTTTACTTACATGGACAAGCATACAGTGTGATATATGGCTATGAGAAAAATCAGAAATGCATGAGGTTTCATATTAATTATCTCTAAATTCTTGCAATAGGGTTGGGTGAGATTTCCAGCTATTTTTAATTACAACTAATACTACAATCCAAGGAAAAAATGCTAAATGAAAAGTTAATATAAAAATAATACTAGTTAATACTTCACCATACTTGAAAGATTTAAGATCTAAATGGAGGAAAACTGCAGCCTCACCTGGGCCTCTGTCTGCAGTTGTTCAATTAATGATAATGTCTTAATAGCTATGAAGCACACCTGTGATTGACAAATCATTTCATTTTAGAAAGGAAAATCTAGTTAAAATGTAGAAGATGTACTTTTGTCTGCTCTTGTCTATCAGTCTGTACTTACTGACTGAAAAATCTGTGCAGCTTGTATGGGATTATGAAGAATGTAGTTTCCAAGAGTTGCATCTAATTCAGCAATATCAGAAGGGTTTATTGAAATAATGAAACGATAAACAGCATAACTTTGTTTTGAGTCTGTAGGAGCAAAAACTATCCAAATAAAAAACAATGTAAGACTTATGTGACATTATGTGTTAATTTAACAGACTATCTGTTGAGTAATACCACTGTATTTTTTGCAATCCTGCATGAATTTCTGAAGGCCACCACTTCTGTCCAGGTAAACAAGGGCAACTTCCCTCATCTTCTGTATTTCACGATGCATCTTCCAAGAAAGACCTTTGCACTATTTATCAAAATGTTGGAATAAACTGTGAAGAAACAATGTTAGAGCTGGCCATGCTATGATAACAATAAAGGGAAATATGAACAAAGCCATACAAATAAGTCTCTTTTTCAAGCTATGCAGTTCTCTAAGGATTTTTAAAACTCAGTGGAAAGTTCTTTCCAATGGCTGAAGCATACTACATTCCCAAAATAAATTCCCGGAGAATGCTCTGGTGTTTTCTTTTCTCAGTGGTTTACTTTACTGCTCAGTGCCCTAACCCATGAAATGAAAGCTTGCATTTAACTTAACCTCCCCTCTATATTTTATAGGTATAATCAGCCTATCAGAAGTAGGGCTTAAGCACTTCCTTTACCTAAGAAGTCTGTCTTGGCTGCTAGAAGTGCAAAACTGGACATCTTTTTCCCTTTTTAAATCTGACTTTCCTACTCTGCTGTTACCTCCTGTATTACCCACTTAAGGTGCTGATCTTGCACACACTTATTTCCAGCCATGTACACAGAAGATCAGTCCCAACTCCCACAGACAAAGCTTTAACAACTACAGTTCTGGACTGGAGGCTGTGCTCTTCAGTGCTGCTTTCATTGTGTACTGCTGCATTATTATTTTCTTTTTAAAGCGGAATCTCGTGCCACGAAGCACTGCTTTGCTGAATTTAGAGGGAGGATTACTAAGGCCAAGTTACAGCATTTTGTATATATGTATCTGGTTTACTGTCTTACAGATTTTCTTCCACAAAGCGTCCTTTGTCCTCTCTGTTGATGACCAATATAAAAATACCACTTCAGTCTTCAGAAATAGATTTAGCTTCCTAGTAGAGAGTAAGACACACAGTTATTGGGCTGATGAAGAATCAAAGCTCATAGCATATGAAAGATCCCCTGGAGTTCACAGAACTGGCTTTGGAAAGACAAACAGATCAACATCAGAGATGAGTAACTGAATACTAGGGCAACAATAGTGCAGCACAGTGCAAACTCCATTGACTGACAGTTGTACGCTGTGGCCGGGTAGATGTGTTTAGTGCCTGAAGCATCGCATTTTAAACACAAGTTGGAAGATAGTTTATAGTAGAGATTTACACACACACGCACACACACACAGAGTTTCTTTAGGTCTACTCCTACATGATCAGTGATTCATCCCTCAAAATGGTTATCAAGAAGGGGTTACAGAAACACACAGATCCACTATACCTCCCCTCCCTGTGTTCCCCAGGCTAGAAGGGACACCAAGCACGACTAGGAAGGACTGAACTATGGCCCAGGTCATCGTGCACTAAATACTGTCATCACCTAAGCTTCAGAAAGTCTGACCAGTCCCACTACGGGGCTGATGGTGTTCATCGGTGCCCCCCACAGCCAGCGATACTGGCTCCTGCCACCCACCTCCCCTCCCCACATAAACCTCACGGGCGCTGCTTCCCAAGTGCTCTACGGGTTCCTACGCCGCCCTGTTCAGCACAGAGACCGACCGGGCTGTTCACATCACATCTGGGAGAGGCCGTGGCGCCTTCCCCCTCAGGGCGCCGCTGTACCCGCGGCAGAGGTCAGCTGTGCCGCTTACGAGGTGGTTCCAAGGGGCTCCAGAGCCTCCGGCTGGTGCCGCTCCCTCACGCCCTCAGCCGGGGGCAGCCGTGAGGCAACGGCCCTGCGCGGCCCAGGCGGGAAAAGCGCCCGAGTTCTCCCTACCCCGGCCTCCTGAGGCGCCGCCACCGGGGCCCTGAAGAGCAGCGCCGCGGTTGAGAACGGCTCCCGAAATCCAGGGGCTGCACAAGCACAGCCGCCAGCACCTCTGCCCCATTAAACACGGCTACTGTGGGTGCACGGCCATTGCTTTACTTTGCCCAGTGCATGAGGCAGGGCAACAGGGAAGTGTCATGCACTCAGTGTAGCAAGCACTAAATACCAATGTAAAAACATTTTTTCTTATTAATAAAAAGTTATCTCACAGAACATTTCTTCTTCTGTTGCATTTCATTCAGTTTGTGTTTTTACAACTGCCATACATGTCAGCCAGTCCATCTTGCTGCTGCCTCTCCCACTCCCATCCCATGCCCAAAGCAACAGAGCTGGTCGAACATTCCTTTGCTTCCATGGCACCAGGAGAGGTCTGCTCCTCACAGGGTTGAGATGTACCTCTCCGGAAGGGAGGAATAACTTCCCTTCAGTAAGGACAGGCAAAAACCCCTGCTTTAGTCACAAAGTCAAATTTTACCTCCCTTTATTACTCATCTGCCGAAACAGAAAGGCAGCACCACAGATGGTTCCTATGTAGGCTGACTATCTCCTGCCCAGGCTTTACCCCAACTAGTGCTTCAGAGCTCACTTGCCAGCTCAGCACTGGGTGAAGGAGCTGTGACACTCTGAACCTATCTTACTTTGAAACCCATCGTCATGGGATGCAGGGAGATGTGGAACAAAAGCACTAGGTGCCGAAGCACTGTTGTGAGGCTTTACTGCCTGATAATGTACCCAGTCTGTTATCTTCACAAGGTGGGAGCTGACTGAGTCATTTCACAACATGAACTTACAGCAGAACAAAGTGAACTGAACTACTGCAAGTGGTATGTTTAACAAATCCACACTTCACCAAAAAGGCAAGAAACCCTAAATTTGTCATAACCCTCCCCCCAAAACCCTTCACACAGTCAGGCAGCTAGGTACAAGACAAAGTGAAAGGGGTGTTACCTTCCCCAGCAACAACTTAAGTATCCCCTCTTCTTCCTGTCTCTCCACAATGCTGTACTTCCTTGCCATTAAGGCAGTTACAGTAGCCCACAATAATTTCAGCAGCATACAGAGTGAAAATCTGGTATGAGAATGACAGACACTTCATTCTTACAATCAACTTCTGCTTTCAAGTCCATCAGAAAGACTTTTTGGTGTTTGTTTTGGTTTTGGTGTTTGTTTTGTGTTTGTTGGGGTTTTTTTCCCCCAAAAAGGGCAATGCTGCTGCTTCCTCATTATTATAATGGCAATAATAGGATTCGTGTAGCTGCTGGTTGTTCTGAACATCTGCACAGCTATTTCCAAACCTCTCAAAATTCCAGAGCAGCACCACAGTAAATGAGAGCCAACCCACTACTTCACTTCCACAAACAATGCAGGTCTTTCCTTCCATAGCAATGTCAATTCTTACTTCTTTTACCCAATCACTCCTTCCAACACCTCATGAAGCAGCAGCTCAGCATCACTTAAGCACTATGCAGATCTCAGTTCTATAGCAGATACTGCTCCAGATAAGCACAGAATCCTGTTTCTGTTTCCACTTGTCTAATGTTTCACTGTTGTTGTAACATTGATTTCAAAAGAATTGATACTCTTTTCCCCAACATTCTCAATTTTAAACTGACCTTCATGCAATATGGATAGCATTTCTTTTAGCTAGTTCTTAGTGAAAAATGAGATGATTTAGATATCGAAACTTATCTTTTACTCATCAGTGTCTTAGCAAACTTCTCTCAAATCAAGGCATTTAACAGAATATATTTATGAACAAAAACCACAGAACATTGAGTAACAGACAAAAATAAGTTGTTATTTACAAGTAGTATATATAATAAAACTACTACTGTGATAGGCATTTATACAGGGTAACTGCAGTCAATATTTGCATTGTTTAAAAAAATTTCCTTAAACAGAAATTGTTCAGAGTTAGCCATTTGTCCATACACGTGTATGTTATGAGAAGTACAACAGCTTTTCACATTTTTAAAATTATAAGCATAATTTACATTTTTCCCTCCTAATATCAAGTGAAGATATGGTGCAAACTGGAACACAAAGACAAGTAGCTACGACTGCTGAAATACAATCAATTTGGAACATATTAGTGTTTCAAACCGTAAATCCATGAGAAAAATCCCTAGTATTTGGCATGGTCCCCCCACCACCCACCCCTGAAAGGTCAAAGCAAGATAGTCTTTTAAAGTAACAGTGATTATTGCATATTAGGTCTTTGGAAAAGCAGAGTTTTAACTAAAAATATTTTTAATGTAGTTGAAATATAGGCATATTTATCTCAGGGAGGAAAGAAGAATAGAACACATGATCAGTAATGTTACCAAATCAATCCAGTTAATTTGTTCCATCCTTGCTTTGACTTATCCCCAGTACCTTAGATAATCCAGTGGAGTGAACAGCACTGCAGCAAGTGCAAAAGCAACAATCCAGTTTTACATGACCAATTTTTCATTCTCTAGAAGTCCTTTAAGAATCTGGGTCTTAACTTCTATTAACCCCTAATTTAAGTGCTGACAGGTAAACGAACATATATTTCGAACTGACATAACAGGGAAAACATTTACCTTTCTTAAACCAGGATATACAAAAGACAATTTGCATAGTTACAATTCAAGCACAAATAGGTACAAAAGCATTTATAAATTTACTAACTTTCTGCTGTTTGTGCCAGCCAAATCTTAGATTAGGTATGAATGTAAACTTGGAAGGGACTGAGGAGAACAGTCAGTGTTTTTTGCTTAAAATATATTTAGAGAATGCTTTTTAAAGGTTTTTAAAAATATTTTCTGCAGCAGGAACAAACAGTTCAAACCCCCCACAAAGCCATCCAAAATGCCCAAATTCCTCCTATACAGCAGAGAAAGTTTGTTCATAGGTTTCAAACCTACATACAAAACGAGGCACTAGTTACGCTATTTTGGAATGTGTCCATAACCCTAACACTTCTGTTCACCCCAAGACTTCCAAAACACCATGGCTTCTAGCTTCCTAAGAAAACATATCTTCAGAAGGTGGTGCATAAGAAAATCCAACAAATGCATCATCTGCCTCAAGGACACTGGCATTAACAATGCTGTAATCTGAAGAAACGCAGACAGAGTATGGGACCATTTCTTCTGTAAACACTGCATCAAAATTCCCAATGTCATCTGGTCCAACCTAAAAATCAGAGATCTATCAGCTGTTATGTTAATACTATGCTTTAAACTTGTGGTTGTGCTTTCAAATTTAACTCTTGAGGCTATCTGTGTTGTTGTTGCCTGTTTATGCACAGGAAGTTTAAGGAAGCACACCACAGCATCCCCGGAAACAGCTATTAAAAGCCTGATAGTTTCTTTTAGACTGGAGTTTAGGCCAAAGCTTACACACCTTTATGATCTGATGAACCAGGGAAATACAAATAAATATGTCTGTCTGAACTGACTTTTAGGAAGATGCAAAAACTAATCCCACCCCCCTGAAAA